TCTTTGACGGTCTGGACGAGTGCAGACTTCCTCTGGACTTCACCAAAACCAAGGCCCTGACCGACCCCACAGAGTCGGCCTCAGTGCACGTGCTGCTGGTAAACCTCATCAGGGGGAGCCTGCTTCCCTCCGCTCGCCTCTGGATAACCACACGACCCGCGGCGGCCAATCAGATCCCTGCTGAGTGCATCTCCATGGTGACAGAGGTCAGAGGGTTCACAGACCCACAGAAGGAGCAGTACTTCAGGAAGAGGTTCAGAGACAAGGCCGACACAATCATCTCCCACATCAAGACGTCCAGAAGCCTCCACATCATGTGCTACATGCCGATCTTCTGCTGGATCACTGCCACAGTCCTGGAGCATGTGTTGAAAAGCAGAGAGAGAGGAGAGCTGCCCAAGACCCTGACTCAGATGTACATCCACTTCCTGGTGGTTCAGGCCAAAGTCAAGAACATCAAGTATGAAGAAAGATCTGAGACAGACCCACACTGGAGTCCAGAGACCAGGAAGATGGTGGAGACTTTGGGAAAACTGGCCTTTGAGCAGCTGCAGAAAGGAAACCTGATCTTCTACAAGAGTGACCTGAGCGAGTGTGGGCTGGACGCTGCAGCAGCCTCAGTGTACTCCGGAGTGTTCACACAGGTCTTTAGAGAGGAGACAGGCCTGTACCAGGACAAGGTCTACTGCTTCATCCATCTGAGTGTGCAGGAGTTTCCTGGCTGCTCTTCACGTCCATCAGACCTTCATCAACACTGGGATCGAACCTCTCTTAGATACCCACCACAGTCATCATGGACAAAATTTTTAGCCCTGACACTGAAGCCTTCTACCAGCTCAGCTGTGGACCAGGCCTTACAGAGTCCAAATGGACACCTGGACCTGCTCCTCCGCTTCCTCCTGGGACTTTCACTTGCAACCAATCAGAGCCTTCTACAAGGTCTGCTGACACAGACAGGAAATAGCTCCCAAACCAATCAGAAAACAGCTGAGTACATCAAGAAGAAGCTGAGTGAGGATGTGTCTGCAGAGAGGAGCATCAACCTGCTCCACTGTCTGAATGAACTGAATGATCGTTCTCTGGTGGAGCAGATCCAACAGTACCTGAGTTCAGGACGTCTGTCTGAAGGTGGACTGTCTCCTGCTCAGTGGTCAGCTCTGGCCTTCATCTTACTGTCATCAGAAGAAGATCTGGACCAGTTTGATCTGAAGAAATACTCTGCTTCAGAGGAGGCTCTCCTGAGGCTGCTGCCAGTGGTCAAGGCCTCCAACAAAGCTCTGTGAGTAACATTTGTTTAACAGAGGATGGTTTAATTCAACTTCAGCATAAACAATGTTTCCTCCTCCAGACTGAGCAGCTGTAACCTGTCAGAGAGAAGTTGTGAAGCTCTGTCCTCAGTCCTCAGCTCCCAGTCCTCTAGTCTGACAGTCCTGGACCTCAGTCATAATGACTTGAAGGACTCAGGGCTGAAGATGTTGTCTGTTGGACTGAAGAGTCCTCACTGTAAACTGGAACAGCTCAGGTCAGAGGGGTTCACAGTATTTACTTTATTATTTATTTATATTTTTACATTATTATTACATTTGCATTGAAAAATAATATTTGATAAAAGTAACATAAAGACAGGGGATTTGTTATTTGCCTCATTTGTAACTGAATGTTACTAAAGAACTTGACTGATTACAATAATCTGTGTCCTCAGACTGTCAGGTTGTCTGGTCTCAGAGGAAGGCTGTGCTTCTCTGGCCTCAGCTCTGAGGTCCAACCCCTCCCATCTGATAGAACTAGACTTGAGCTACAACCATCCAGGAGACACAGGAGTAAAGCTCCTGTCTGCTCTACAGGAGGACCCCCACTGCACACTGGACACTCTCAGGTATGGACAGTGTTGGACACGTTACTTTGAAGAAGTAATTATCTATAATTATTAGTTACTTCTCCCTAAAATAACTTGGTTAGCAAATGAGTTACTCAACTCTAAAAGTAAATAGTTACTAGGGAAAGTAATTATTGCATTACTTTTAAAAAAAATATTTTTTTCTAAGTGTGCACTTTTGAACTCTGCTGTGCTCTAGCACGATTGCTGTGGGTTTTATGGCCACACTCACACCTGCACAACCGAATTGGGCCATGGCCTGATGACATCATCATACGGTGCTTTTTGTTTACATGTCGCTATCGCTTTAGCGAAGAAAGAAGCACATTGGTATGAAATAGCGGAGTAGATACGAGTCCTGCTGCGAAACCTCTGTGAGTTTATGCATATAAAAACAGTTCGGGAGAGTGAGGACAACAGGAGACAAAAGGCTGCAGAACTTCTGTCTCTGTCACAGTCCTAATTGAAGATAAGCGCAGATTCGCCGATTGCCAATTACGTTCATTTTAATCGACAAACCGAATGTAGGTTGCTGTGCGTAGCATAGGGTGACCAAACGTCCATGTCCGGGGACAAACAGGGGTCCGTACATTCTGCACTCAGAAGGAGCGAGCAGACACAAACAGTCAGTCAGTCTGCAACGTGTTGAAGGGCAAATGCGTATTTAACGATGACTTGTACAAGAAATTATATGCTTTCCGTTCCGGTCGGTGTGAGTGCACAGTGTATAAAGCAGCACATATGTTTCGGTGTCCAGTGGGAAAAAGTTTTTCCAGGTGAGAGTCGCGCAATGTCAATGATGACGCCCCACCTCCCACCCCGTGTACGGTGTCCTGGTTTTGACAAAGGCAAATATGGTCACACTCACCTGTATTCTACTGAGTCGTGTTGCATCAGTGCACAAGAGCTGTAGTTTTATCTTTGCTTAGTTTATGCAAATTAGCCATGCGGTTTTAAATTTTGTTTCTGTGAAAGTTGCACAAAACTGCATTAAGCACATTATAATGTCAAACAGGCTGATGTGACTCTAGAGTGGTTATGGTTTATAGTTGTAAAGTTGAATTTATTTATGCAGATTAGTAGTGCAGATAGTAATAATAATGATGATCATTTTAATATAAAAAATGTTAATGATTAATTGATAATTGATTGTTAATTCTCCTGACGATCGATTAAGAAAATTTTTATTGAATGCCCATCCCTAGATTACTCATTACTGATCAAAGTAATGCCGTTAGTAACAGCGTTTACCCAAGTGGGGGCTGGTCCGGGCCTCCACTTTTCACGGCCCAGGCCATGGTTTACCCTGCGCCTTCTGCTGTTCTCCTCTCTCCCTCCGGGTGTCCTTGCCTTTCTCGGCTGCCCTGCCTGCCAGCTCCACCCACAAGGACTACTGATTCAAATAACTGCTTTATTTTCTTTGTATGCTTTTATTTTGATAAGTGGTGATAAAAACTGCAAAACAAGCCTGTTTTAAAAATGTGATTTTAAAACGATTCAGTGTTTCAGACTGATGTCATGTGTTTCAGACTGGAGCCTGCTGGAGCTGAGTGGTTAGTACCAGGACTCAGAAAATGTAAGTGTTGAGTTAACTCCATTTGAAACAGACACATAAACACAATGCATGATGGGAAAGGAAGCACACCAAGCCCCGTCAAAACTGAGGCTGTCAATGGAGCAAGTATCTATTAAAAAAACAAAAAACAAAAAAACAACCAAAACATTGACAGGACAGAATTGAATCTTTCCCAAATAATTTTAGAATGATGTTGAGCTGACACTATGGAACCTCCCTGGACCACTGTAGGATTACACACATATAACCCACATGGGAATATAAAAGAAAGTACTATGATTTAATCTTGAAAATCACATTCTATTTTTTGTGTTTTAAATTATCATCAGGGTATCAGAATCAGTAATGATTGAGTCTATTCCTTAGTACTGAAAGAGTTTGAAGAGTTTTCTTGGTAGCACTTTATAATAACTCCTCCTTATTAAGCATTTATTAAGCATTATTCAACACATTTGTTAATCATTAGTAAGCAGTTACCTCTTAATTACTTCTCATCAGTTAATCATTTATAGATGTATATGTTAATGCTTTGTCCATGGTGAAGAATTATCTTACAGCCATTTGTTAAGCATTATTTAACACATTGGTTAATCATTTGTACACACTTACCTCTTCATTTTTTCACGTGATTTAATCATTAGTAAATATGTCTTTAATGTCTTTAGTCATCATTAGTAAATCATTACTAATTCATTAGTACTCATCAACTATTAATATGTAAAAACGTTGTTATCCCCAATTTTATCAAATTAATAGGGTTATTCCCCAGTATTGATCAGTTATAAGCACTTGTACATGGTAGTTAGAATAGGTTAAGCAGGGGGTGTTTACGCTCACCACATGACGACCACCCTTCATGGATCTAATATGTTCTTCTAAAGTGAGAATTGTCTGTGCTTTACAAAACATTATCAAATGATTTGTTAAGTCTCACTCATGATTAACTCATCAGTGATAATTGCTTACTTAAGTATTTTTTGGGAGCTCATCTAAAGTGAAGCTTGTCTATGCTCTACTAAACATTAACAGATGATTTGTTAAGTCTCACTCATGATTAACTAATCAGTGATAATTGCTTACTTACGTATTTTGTGGGAGCTCATCTAAAGTGAGAATTGTATATGCTTTATAAAACATTTACAAATTACTTATTACAGTTTGCATGACTTAAGACATTCAAGATTGTAGGGTAATACCATGTCTATGCTTTACAAGTCACGAGAGTCTGAAATAAATAAGTGTTAATTCTTGTTCTAGTCTTAAGAAGGTATAAGCATCACATAAAGTCCTTGAAAAAAACACAAATTTATTGAAACTGACCATACACGTGAGCAGTGTTGGGGAGTAACGGATTACATGTACCGCCGTTACGTAATCAGAGTACAAATTATGAGTAACTGTATTCCGTTACAGTTACTGCTTCAATGAGTGGTAATTGGATTACAGTTACTTTGCTGAAATAAGTGGATTACAAGGCGGTATTTTCCTGTTTTCACATTTTGTGCTACATCCCATTTATTTATTTTTTTATTTTGGTAATTCCACTTATTGCCGGAAACCCAAACAGAACGCGCGCAATAAGAGTGATGTAAACGTCATCCAAACCGATGTGAGATATATATAAAAAAAACAAAAACAAATATAAAATCGCCTACAACTTAAATGTGAAACAGGAGCTACTGGCACTGGTGAAAACAACCTGCATAGACTCATAATATCTGCACTACTGTCATATAATGACCTGCCACATGAGTGGACACACACACAAACACAAACAAACAAACACAAAACACACACAAACAAACACACACAAACACACACCTTCATCATCGTCATCAACCTGAGAACCCGCGGACCACGTCTCCTTCCGTAGTTACTGCGCGGACACAGACGTCTCGTGCGCCGCGAGTGGACCGTGTTTTCTCGCATAAACCGCACTTCCTCTAAACCAGAACTAACACCAGGACTAAACCAGAACTAACCCAGGACTAAACTAGGACTAAAGCAGGACTGAACCAGGTTTAAACTAGGACTAAACCACGACTAAACCAGAACTAAAGACCTGATCTAGACCTGGTCTAGACCTGGTCTAAACCAGGTCTAAAATCAGGAGTAAAACAGGTCTAAAAATCAGGACTAAACCAGGACTAAACCAGGTCTAAACAACATGACACCTAACAGTAGGTTGACATAATTTAAGGTGATCTCATATAAAAAATAATTTCTCTATCAATAATATTTTTTAATATGGTGAAGGAAAGGCTGATCTTGTTACTGTCTTTTAACAGACAAAAACCTCTTATATTAAGATCTCGTGGTCTTTGTTTCTCTACAGCAAACAGTTGTTTATTCATGGAGACTTGGGCTCAGACAATTTGAAGACAACAAACAAGAATTTCCAGGATGTGGTTGATACATTCATGTCGTTTAAAAAAAAACATGACAATATCAAGTAATCCAAAGTAATCAGATTACGTTACTCACTTTAAGTAATTTAATGGATTACGTTACAAACTACATTTTGGGGTGTGTAATCTGTAATCTGTAGGGGATTACATTTTAAAAGTCACCTTCCCAACACTGCACGTGAGAAAACTATATAAAACATGTAGACAATTCATTTCAACCCCTCATATATGATTAGGCCTACTTATTTGTCTTTGCTACGTCATGTAGCAGACGCCCAAAAGCACCACGTGGATGTTTGCGTGCCAACCATTCATTCCACTCAATGAATGTCAGGTGATCAGAGAGCAAACTCTCTGTGCGGTTGCCCCTCAGCCGCCATATTTTGCTCCTTATATGTTCTCCAGGACCTCTCAGTGTGCTGGGTGTGTGCGCCTGTGTGTTGATCTACATACCACCTACTGTTTACGGTATGGTGGTCATAACCTAAATCTGTCAGTACACGATAGGTCCGCCATTCGTCGCTGATAATAGAAGTCCCAGGTCTAACATGGTGCTCCACGAGAGGGACAAGATGTCTCCGGGATCTTCTTTCCACTAGGCGAAGGACTGGCTTCTTGGACTTTCCACGTCTGACTGGCAGCATCCCAAACACCCATTTCCTCCTCCTCCATCCTCCAGCCATTCTTCCTCTTCCATACTGATGCACAAATAGGAGAAGTAACAAATGTAATCAATATTATATATGCCTTACTACAAGCCTATACTTACACCTATACCTTTACAACTGGACAATTCTATAGAGAGTGTACTTGTTGTCAATAAATCAATAAAATTCCATGGGATTTAACGAATGTGAGTCATTACATGCATTGCCACTTTTGGCTGTGACATAAGCCTATATACTGTAAAAACGTTCCTCATGTTCTGTCACATATAGACCCATTTATTGACACTGATAGTGTTTATGCACATACTAGCATAACAATACTACACTGTACAAGTTCAGTGAACTCAAAATATTTTTAGAAACTGATCACATCTAAAATGTAATTTTTTTTCTGAAATGTTTAACTTTTTAAATATTTCAAGTTTTTAAAGCAGGGGAGAGTGGATGAGTGACAGGCATGTGTAATTGATGAGTGGGCATGGCTGAGAATCTGGTGGAGAGTGAGGTGCTGCTGAAGAGCCTGGCAAGGCTGTGACAATTTCTTATCGTGTTGCAAAACTGCAAAAGAATACTATACATAACACTATGGCAGACTCTCAATCTTCCACATGAAAGTGTATTTAGCATTTCTTTAATGAACTACTACAGCATCTCACCATCATGTGTCAAGCAGGTTTGAACTTAAATGTTTTGAGATGATTCAGATATTAGCTTGATATGACTTACCTATGGTGAGAATTCAGCTGACAAATATTTGTTCTAACTCAACGAAGAGCCATATACCCTTATTAAATTTACATATGAGCGCAATAAGTATTGTATTGTAGTATAGGAGTGAAGGTAGCACTCAAAACTTCAAAATCATTGAGTTGGTCTGAAAGGATTTTATTTTGGGGGAAAATGTACTTACATTTTTAAAAGTTCAAATTGAAATGTTACAATTAAGTAATTCCACAAATATTTTGAGTTCACTGAACATGTTGGGTTTTACAGTGTAGGCAGAGTAATACTTAGGACACTTCCATTACTACTACTACTCACCTTTCTCTTGTGTCGAAAATGACTCTCGTCAATGACAACAAATTCACTTCTCCCTCCAATACGCTGGCCTGTTCGGGCTCTCATCCTCTCCATAGCAAAGACACATGCATCCCTTAACTTTTTGGCCATTTTGCTAAGAGTGGCAGAGCTAGCTGCTATGCTGTCTTGCATCATGTCCACCTGCCGGAGCCTTAGACCCTGAGAAAATCTTCAAGGACAAATATATACATAACAAAATGTTAATATCATATATTGTGTGATATATAATTCCTGTAGATGACAACATTTATATATATGTTGGCTTATGTTGGAGTTATAAATACATAATGTGTGGGTTAATAACGAGCCAGTTGTGACGCGTATATACATACAATACATTGAAGGAGCCGTATGTAAGAAATGTATTTAAAATAATCATAAAATGACCCTGATATTTCACCAGACATAAGGAATCATGTTATATATATATATATACCATCTTCTTCACATCTTACATATCGCTCTTTTAAATAATAAAAGAATGACAATGGATATTTACAAAAAGATTGTAAAAGAGGGATTAGGCTTGTCGTGAGGCAGAATGACATGACTCAATGAATAAAGAAATGAGTGGGTGAATCAATGCTCAGGACACCTTTATGTTGGCCTATAATTGAGGTTGCAGAGCTCAAGGGGAAATGACATCGGTAAACAAACTATGCTTAGCTCCAGCCAAAAGTCACTGTCTTCAGTCTGTGTGCCATTACACTGCATAGTGCATGTAATGGATGTGTTGGTACAGCCTTGTTACTCTTTGATACAGTGGAATAAACCTGTTAAAATAAAGTGTACCAGCTAAGTACCTACATACATATGACATGTATGTCTTATTTTGGAAGATGTCTGCTATTATGCTAGTACATGTAACAGCTGTGTTGGTACAGCCTTCCCCTTGAGCTCTGCAACCTCAATTAATAGGCCACCATAAAGGTGTCCTGAGCATTGATTCACCCACCCCAGCATTAGGGTGCCTTGGGTCTCAGTTCAGCTCATTGCCTCCTAGAAGAATTCAACACTTTGAATACATATTAG